CTCGGGCGTCAGCAAAGCGGAGCGGGATGACAAGCAGGAAATGGGAGCTCGAGGGAGACGCCGAAGCGCCCGCCTGTCGTCCGAGCGAGCGGGGCGCCTCGCTCCAAAATGTCCGGATGGGGCGCGACGCCTCCCCACCCCCCTCCTCCTATAGTCCCGAGTCACCTATAAAACCCCTCCCCCTTTCCTTGCCCCCCAACTCGGAAATCCTAATCTTTTTTTTTCATGTGGTGTCTTTTTATCGCCAAATATGCCCCCCTCGCTGCTCGCGGCGCTTCGGAGGGAGGGTTCCCACGCAAACCAGAAAGGAGACCCAAGCTGGTGCCGTTGGATTCCCGTGTGAATCCGACGTAACTAATGACCACCATCTTTTCCCCTTGTTCATTACGGAGATCAGCATCCTGGCTTCATCTGTTTTCGCCAAATATGCAAGCGGCTTGCAAATACGCTTCTTTATCGTGTAGAACGATTTCAAGTCCGAGAAAAGGGGGAAACCAGTTTCTCTTGAGTGATGTTTTAGGTATGGATCCTAAACGAGTAGCCCTCATACCACATCATCCTGCTTGTGATAATGAATTGGGACTGAAATAAATGATCTTCAGTAAATTATTTTGAACCAAATACTGTACAGCTTCTTAGCAGCAGTAAATCTAGCTTCCAATACAGTTTCGTTTTTGTGTTTTTTGCTAATATCCACGCACTTTGTTTTCTTGGAGAAGGTACAGGAGTGTGAGATGGTATTGACAGATACCCCTAATTTGGGGTGTTTATTCATTATCAGTGGTGTGGTATCAATTTGTGCCATAGTTCCATCCCAGTTCGATTACTGTAATATGTTCTACATGGGGCTGCCTTTGGTAAGTATTTGGAACCTTCAGTGGGTCCAAAATACTGCAAATTGTTAAATAGCCCTGGTTACCAGGATCACAACTCTCACAGCACCCCCACTGGCTGTCAGCCCGTTTCTGGGAACAATTCAATGTGCTGGTATTGATGAATAAAGCTCTAAAGCTGTCTCAAATGCAGCATCTCCCTTTATGAGCTTGCCGGGATTTTAAGATCATAAGAGAGGCCTTTATTTTATTCTCACCTCCTTCTCAGGTACATTTGGTTGGGACATGACAAAGGATCTTCTCTATTGCTGCTCCCAAACTCTGGAGCTCCCTCCATTGCCTTCCTCAAGCAAGCAAAAACCTTTCTCTTGAGGCAGGTTTTCTCTTCAGTGACTTAAGAAGGGTTTTTATAATGGAACTGTTATGTTTTTGTTGTTTTTAAATGTGGTTAATGAGCTGCTTTTATCTATAGTTTTAATACTATGTTTGTTTAATTCTTTTTCAATACTGTAATCATTTATTGTTCTTAGCTTTTAACACAGTTTGATGTGTGTGGGGGGAGGGTTTATACTGTAAATTGCCCTGGGTTCTTTTTAGGAGAAAGGTGGGGTATAAATATTTTAAATAAATACAGTAAATAAATTTATCATATATACCACATTTTGATTTTAATACCCTTTTAATATTCTCCTGGTACAGGTTCAGCTGTGTGGCTCTGACACCACATGGAACTACAGTACTATGCTTTCTATAGGAACACTGCGTGACTATAAACCATATCTATTTTATATACACTCATATATACATAGCAATGCCCCCCCTGAAATGTTACTATACAATGTTTGATTTACACTGGAACTCTATTCTGTTCCTAATCATCTTTTTCATACAGAACCTGAGGACCCCCTTGAGTGTCCCCTTCCATGATGCTTAACTCTCATAAAGCACAGCTCATTAAATTAACAAAAGAATATTGATTGATTGATTGATTGATTGATTGATTTGATTTGATTTATATCCTGCGTATCTGGTCTTCACTCTAGCTATTTGATTTGATTTGATTTGTTTTATATCCTGCCTATCTGGTCTTCACTCTAGGCGGAGAAAGGAGATGAAAAAGAGAGGGAGATGCAGAAGATTATAGTACAAGTCTTTACATTCACTTGTCACCTGTCCCAGGTAAACTGAAATCCCACACCAAAGAAGAAGACTAAGTACAGAGCAGCAGGTCTGGCCCTACATATTTGGCTGCCTAAGGCAGAACAGAACATGCCTTCTCCCCCACAAGTCGATGTGCAGAGTATCCAAAGCCAAAGTTTAGTTCGGCACATGAGGCAGAAATCCCACAAGCACTGCTGAACATCCCTGGAAATAAACATTCAAGAATAAAAAATTGTTGGCCTTTTATAACACCTCAATATTTCCTAATGGTATGACTAGCCCTGCAAACTGCTAAGAGGAGGGGCTGGAATAAAAAAGGGGTTACAGACATTTTGAATGCCATCTAGGAAAGTGGTAAATGCACCCTCAGGTAGGGAAAAAAAGTCATGTCAGGACAAATGAGAAGGCATGTGAACAAGCTTTCAATAATAGTTCCCAAACCCCTCTGTGCGATAAGCAAATATGAATCAAACATATACTGGACCATTTATCATACCCCTACATTCAGTGCCAGGTGCCAGAAGCATAGGGCCTGCTGAAGTAATTCTGGAGCGGTGTATATTTTACACATTGGAAGTCTGTGCTTGCTTGTAAGCTGCAAACCACATTAAGAAATGATTCCTGGCCTATTTACTGATTTCTATACATGAAATATAGTTTTAGGCCTAGATGCTCCGTCTATCAAGTTATGTGATCACCGCAGCTACCCTTCCTATTTTGTCTAACAAGCCAGCCATACCTAGCAGTATTCATCACCTTTCCCTCTTTTTTCCTCATCTTTCACCCTCCTCATCCCGTCACTACCAACTAAATGCCCCTCTTACCCTGGGAAAAGCCCCTATCCCATTTACACACCCTGAAAGACTCTCCTCATCACAATTCAGACATGATCCAACTGTGGAAACAATATTAGAACTAAAGCAGTGCTGTTGTGCTGTTCTGTGCCATCGAGTCATTTCCAAATCAGAGTGAGCCTAATAGAAGTTTTGAGATGACAGAGATACGTAAGGGATGGTTTTACAATTGAGATCTCCAATGATTTCAGTTTCAGCAATGATTTGAACGCAGGGCTATACCATGTTGGCTCTCACCAATGCTTGTTCTATTCAGGCATAATTCTGTGAAAATAGAAAGATAAACAGCCTCAGAGGTGAAGAACCATACTCTGGCATCGTTCTGCGGTACTAGTGCTTTTCCTAAGCCAAAATTTTGATAAAATTGCTGCAATAGTGTTGAATTAGAATTTGCTTCCTGCAGATGGAAAGCTGTTTTTGCCCATGTTAGGCTCTTGATCCAGCAGAATGGGACAGGAGGCATATTTTGTTGATTTCCCCCATCCTTGCAGCTCACTGTGCCTTCTAATATTTGCTCTGAGGGCTCAGGGACTCAACGGAACAGTGAGGGTAGATGCGCTATGGGCCCCGGGGCAGAGGCAAAGCAGTAAAAAAAAAAAAAAACTTTGCCCAGTGCTCAACTTCTGCTTGCAGGAGCATTTCGAATGGAACTGAGCTCAGCAGATGCTTCTTCCTCCAGATGAGTTTTTCAGTGCTGGGAAATATTATTACAGTTTGTGTGTATTTTTCACATGATGGGACTTCTTTGTGAAAAATTTGCAGAAGTGCTAGTAGTGTTTTCCCCTAAAAGTTTTTATTTTGCTGGAGGAAGCCCTTCCATTTTGTTAATGGTTCATTTAAATAAACACTGTGTTTAAAAAGGCTCTCATATACAGAACCAATAAATCTCTCAGTGGTTGATTTTTTTGTCAGAGGGATGTCTTAATGTGCCCAGATATTCTTTTCCATCAAGGCTGAGGAGATCTGTATTTGTTACATCCTTATACCAAAATCAGTATCCTACTCATTTCAAAGAGATCAGAATATGGCCTGCGTAGATCATCTTTACCAAAATGTTTCCTTGTTGTTGTTGTTTAATTGTTAAGTCGTGACCGACTGACTCTTCATGACCCCATGAACCAGAGCACGCCAGGCCCTCCTGTCTTCCACTGCCTCACAGAGTTGGGTCAAATTCATGTTTATTTTTATTTGTCTGGAAGCCGCCTAGAGTGGTCACAATGAAATAAAATAAATAAATAAATGTTGGTAGCTTCGATGACACTGTCCAACCATCTCATCCTCTGTCATCCCCTTCTCCTCTTGCCTTCACACTTTCCCAACATCAGTGTCTTTTCCAGGGAGATTTCTCATGAGATGGCCAAAGTATGGGAGCCTCAGCTTCAGGATATGTCCTTCCACTGAGCACTCAGGGTTGATTTCCTTCAGAATAGATATGTTTGATCTCCTTGCAGTCCAAGGGACTCTCAAGAGCCTCCCCCAGCACCACAATTCAAAAGCATCAATTCTTTGGTAGTCAGCCTTCTTTATGGTCCAGCTCTGACTTCCATACATCACTACATGAAAAACCATAGCTTTGACTATGAGGACCTTTGTCGGCAAGGTGATGTCACTGCTTTGTAAGATGCTATCTAGGTTTGTCATCACTTTCCTCCCAAGAAACAGGCTATGGGGCGGTATATAAGTCCAATAAATAAATAAATAAAATAAATAAATCTTTTAATTTCATGATTGCTGTCCCCGTCTGCAGTGATCATGGAGCCCAAGAATGTAAAATCTGTCACTGCCTCCATATCCTCCTCTTCTATTTGCCAGGAGGTGATGGGACCAGTGGCTATGATCATGGGCTACAGCAATAATTAATGGGTTTCTCCTCAAGGAAATGCTCATTAGGCCGATTAGGAAGAAACCGAGCTTGGCGGTGGACGATATTGTTGGCGGACAATATTGGTAATTATAGACCTATCGCCAATGTTTCTTTCCTCAGCAAGGTAGTTGAGAGAGTGGTGGCTGATCAGCTGCAGGCTCTTCTGGATGAAGCCAATGCCCTAGATCCATTCCAGTCGGGCTTTAGGCTGTGCCACGGCATGGAAACAGCATTGGTCGCCCTGTTTGATGACCTGCTGACAGAGGCTGACAGGCAAAATGTCTCTGCTGGTCCTCCTTTGATACCGTTGACCATGGTATTATCTTGGGGAGGCTCTCCGAGTTAGGAATCGGTGGCCAGGCTTTTACCTGGCTCTGTTCCTTCTTGAAGGACTGTCCCCAGAGAGTGCAGATTGGAGAGAGTTTCTCAGTCCTGTGGAGCCTCAATTGTGGGGTTCTGCAGGGCTCGATTATCTTTCCAGTGCTGTTTGACATCTATATGAGGACGCTGGGAGGCATCATCAGGGGATGCAGGGCTTTGTGTCATCTGTATGCTGATGATACTCAGCTGTACAGCTCCATTTTCCAACAACAGTGGATGCTGTTTCGTCCCTTGAGCACTGCCTTGGGGCTGTTCAGCAATGGATGCAGGTGAACGGACTGAGGCTGAATCCGGGAAAGACAGAAGTCCTTCAGGTGGATGCCCCAGACATCAGTAGTCTGGGAAACTCCCTTACCTTTGGGGGGGGGTGACTCTTACCACCAAGACTGAGGTTCGCAGCTTGGGTGTACATCTGGACCCGGCTCTCACCATGGAGACCCAGGTGTCATCAGTGGTCCATTCTGCACATTTCCACCTTCAGTGGATTGCCCAGCTGCATCCCTATCTTGATGTGGGGACGCTCACCACTTTGGTCCATGTACTCATAGTCTCCAGATTAGACGACTGTAATGTGCTCTACGTGGGACTGCATTTGAGACTGACATGGAAACTTCAGATGGTACAAAATTAGGCAGCCAGACTTCTAACTGGGGTGACAAGGTACCAACATATTTCCTCCACACTTGCTGCCTTGCATTGGTTGCCCATTCATTTCAGCATTGATTTCAAAGTTCTTACGATGACATATAAAACCCTAAACAGTTTAGGACCTCGATATCTGGCAGAGTGCCTTCTCCTACCCAGTTCTGCCAGAGTCACTCGTTCTAGCCAGGCTGGGTGGCTGAGGGGCCTAATGTCGAGGGAGGTCTAGAAGGAAAGAACAAGGAACCGGGCCTTCTCGGCAGTGGCCCCTTGCCTCTGGAACAACTTGCTAGTGGAGGTTCTCCTGGCTCCCTCTCTGGGTGTCCAGGAATAAACTTAAGACTTGGTTATTTGGGTAGGCTTTTCCTCCTCCTGTATCTTAAATTCATATTTTAACATCTTGAATTTATTGCATGTTTATTGGTTTTATTGGTTTTATTGTTTTTAAATTTGAAATGCCACTCAGAGTAGACCCTTGGTCTAGATGGGTGGGGTATAAATCTATTTAAAAAAATCTTAGTTTTTTAGTGTTGCGCTTCAGACCATTTTTTGCACTCTTCTCTTTTACCCTCAATAAGAGGTTCTTTAATTCCTTCTCAATTTCTGCCCTCAGAGTGATATCATCTGCATATCGGAGGTTGTTGATATTTCTTCTGGCAATCTTAATTCCAGTTTGGGATTCCTTTAGTCCGGCCATTTGCATGATGTATTCTGCATATAAGTTAAATAAGCAGGGAGAGAATATACAGCCTTGTTGTACTCCTTTCCCAATTTTGAACTGATCAGTTGTTCCATATCCAGTTCTAACTGTTGCTTCTTGTCCCACATATAAATTTCTCAACAGAAAAATAAGGTGGTCAGGCACTCCCATTTCTTTAAAAACTTGCCAGTCTGCTGTGGTCCACACAGTCAAAGGCTTTTGCGTAGTCAAAAAGCCTTTGCTTATATGGAGGTAAAAAAGGATATTAAGGGAAAATATGATAACATCACTGCTTTAATTAATGTGATTAATTGATTCTGTTTTTCACAGGAAAGATGTAAGGAATGCTCTCTGTGGAGAATTAGAAATGAGCATATATTGCTACACTTATCTTTTCACACGTTATATTGTGAACAATTATTAAAGAAATTCCTCTACACTTCTCTCATCATGTCAGTGATATAGGAAAATAGGAGAGTAACAATCTGCCTGAAAATCCATTTTCCAGAGACAAGGCTTGGGCTTAATTTTTAACACCCTTACCTAGGACTGGGGGCTGTCAAATACAATTAAATTTTCTTCAGAGTAAATATGTGGAGAATTGCATAGCATAACAAGATGTCATGATAATGAATAATTATTCTAGGTTGCTAGATTGCTGATTTACTGAGTACATTGTAAAGACTTTTTTCTTTAATTAAACAGATCCAGCAAAACAGCTATTTCATTCTTGCTTTACCAAAATTATACAAATTTTCATGTTACATGAATTTACTCAATGTTGTCATTTCTCTCTAGTGATATGCATGGCAGAAACTTTCATTTTGCTTTTGTTTTGTTTTGTTTGGAGGCACCTCTTCTGTTTTTGGTTTTTCTGTGCATCTCCCTTTCTGTTTGCCATGAAAGGAGTGCCTTTTAGATCCTTTCAGTTTGGTTTTCCCCATTCAGAGAGACTGGTAGGCCAGGAAGGGCACGAGGACATGCATAGCAGTTGAAAGAGGGCAAATTTGCTATAAGCAAATTCTCTGACTTCTAGCCAGAGAAGCAGTTTTTGATCATTGAAATTTAATCTGTACTCCCAGGGCAATGTCCAAGTGTCCATATTTTGTACTATATGATTTCCAATATGCAGATGTTTCAGCGACATCAGAATCTTGGCACCCCGAGTGCAGTGGATTAGGATTAACTTCTGTTATATGTGAGTGCAAGAAGAAGTGGAAAGTGCAAGTAAAGCTGTCTGAAAAGAAATTCACTATAAATATAAAGATATCCCTCAGGATAAATACAATCTAATACAATGCTTACTTTATACTAATGTGCAACTAATTCACCCTTTATTTCTGTTCTTTCTTTGAGTTACAGTGGAATATAAGATCATTTGTCTTCCAAGTAAGTGAAATGAGCTGGTTATAAGCACATGGTATACTTTTGCAATGATTCAATTTTTTATGTACTGTATGTCTCTAAAATAAACAGTTGTGTAGAAACTGAATTGAATGCATTAAAGCCATCACATAAAAATAAGAACACTTTGGAGAGAATAAACTCTTTCCTTAAAGAAGTATTTGGGAGTACCTCGCTCCCAAGGCCCAGGGTTCTCATCTTCTGAGTTTCATGGTTTGCTCCATGTTCTTTCACACCTTGAAAATGCTGTTGAATCACTTGAGTTGAGATCAAGGCTACATGAGCAGATGTCTCACAGATCTCTGTTCCTAAGGTCTCTCCTCCTGAGAGTTGGGGATTCCTCAAGGAAGGTCAAGTATGCCATATTCTGGGTAGAGGTAGCAAAGGCTGCAAATGTTAAACACTTCCAAATCAGAAGTGGGAAGAACAGAGGTTCTAGCAATCACATTTTTGGCAGCATCCTTCTGGCAAAAAGTGATGTACTTGCATAAGGGCTACGTGTCCAGCCACTAAGATTTGATATCTGTAACAGCCACCTTATACCTCACAAAGGGGCCGTTACGTCACACTCAATCACTCTTAGTTTCCACTGCCACCAACCATTCCCTCAAATAAAGCTTCAGGCCAAAGTATGATTTCAAAATAAAATCTTAGGTTTATTGTATACAAACAAAAGGAATGGTAAATCACTTGAATATAAATAATACTTTAATCACTATAATAATATAACAATCACACACACACTCTCACAGCCCCTCACTATGTAGCACAGTTCTTATCTCTCAGTATCTCCAAGCCCTAACCGTCCCTATCTCAAAGCCCTATCTGGCCCTATCTGAATCTCTCCCCCCATTCACTCACCTTATATACAACAGCTCCAACCCTTATGTCCCACCCTCCGTCACGCCATTGGTAGATGACACACAGCTTCAGCAGTGACGGGCAGGTGATGTCATAGCTGTATGTAACAATACCGGCTTAACCTTAGCTCCAAAACAAAGTGTCTGAGTTTGGACTATCTCGAGCTGTGTATTATTCTCACAGAAAGCAGGAATATTGCCTTTCAGATGTTACTGGACAATAACATAATCTTAGCCGCCATGGTGATGAGGAGAAGGCAATTGCAATCCAGCACCCCTTGGTGGGCCACAGTCCAGCAAAAAAGCTAAAGTATGTGTTATAAATATTTCATAGGGGTTGCAAAGGAGGCTTATGCATGCGGCCTGCCAAGGAAATAGTTAGAAAGGAGTTAATGAAATGGTCAACAAAATGGTTACAAAAGCTAGGGTAATTTAAGAAAACTTTTTTTTTCTCTCTCAAAAAAAGAAAGTTGACAAACAGCCCCAGTGCTTATAAAAGATGAAAGCTAAAGCAAAGTACTTATCCTTTCCCTCAAAAATGTTAATTTTTTTGCTCAGATCCATTACATCTTGTATCTTTACTTTTCATGGGCCTCTTACGTGTTGATGTTGTTTTAATTTACAAATTTTCTGCACTCAGCAAGGTAAAGCTAAAAATTCCCCTTGACAATTTTTGTCCAGTCGTGTTCGACTCTAGGGGGCGGTGCTCATCCCCGTTTCCAAGCCACAGAGCCAGCGTTTTGTCCGAAGACAATCTTCCGTGGTCACATGGCCAGTGCGACTTAGACACGGAACGCTGTTACCTTCCCACTGAGGTGGCCCCTATTTATCTACTCGCATTTGCATGCGTTCGAACCGCTAGTTGGCGGGAGCTGGGACAAGCGACGGGCGCTCACTCCGTTGCGTGGATTCGAACTTACAGCTGCAGATCTACAGATCTTACAGCACAGAGGCTTCTGCGGTTTTACCTGCAGCACCACCACTCAGCAAAGCTCTCACCAAAATATGAGCATTCAACAGCCATCAATGACTTAACTTTAAGCCAGGACCTGCGGAGGAAAAGACAGTATACAAAAGCTAGACACTTTTTATTTTGTCTTTGCACATTAGCCCTCTAAACTACGTACCTGTGCATTTGGATTTATTTGGTGCATGTTGCTCAGCAGATCCATAGTGATACATCACAGAAGACTGCAATCCTCAGGTTTTAAGAATTTTAAATTCTTTTTCACTCATAGAAGATGCTGAGTGAACTGCACATCTGAGTTGTGATCTCCTATATCCAAGAGTTAAATCCTAGATGTGTCTGCTGAGAAGCAAATCCCATTGAATTCACTGATGCCTCCTTCCAAGCAAGTAGATAAAGGAGCCCTACCTAAATACAGTATGTTTACTTGCATATTAATAAGATGAATTAATATCACAGATCCTTGTGACTTAAAGGAATGTTGTTATGTATTTCATGTATTTGAGAGGTCTGGAAACACCTCAAGTTCCTTTTTTGCCACATCAAAAAGTTTAATGCTGGTGTCTTAAGAGGTTTGACATATTTCCCACCCAATGCAGGGCTAAAGTCCAGAATTTAGACTTCAAATACCTGATTGTACATTTTCCAGACTTTTTCTTGTGTCTTGGAATTTGAAATGCTTTTGCAGTTCCAATAACAAGAGGTAATTTCCACAGTAAAATCATAATACATACATTCACATCTTTCTTTTACAATCTAGAAGGGAAAGTACCGTGTATTTTTTGTACATAAGAAAAGATTTCGCATGAAGCAGGAGGAGAAAATGAAATAATTTTTCCTCCTCTTCTCTCTCTCTCTCTCTGTTTCTGTCTCAAGAGACTACTAACTGGCCAAACGAGTCAAATTTATCAACATTAATTTGATGAACAATACACATATGATTGTGTAATCATGTCATACAAGCAAATTATGTGACAGGTGAAGGAAAAAGAAATCCTTTCAAATGGCAATAAAGTGACCAAGAGTGCAGCCATAATTTTGGTATCTGCTAGAACCATGTATGCTAGAATGTAGGTCCAGATCACAACACCTGTATATGTTCAACACTGATATCTCTTTCAGATTCTCCCCCCCCCAATGCAGCACTGCAACTATCCATTTGCTTGCTGCTGAAGTGCTTATGCTATGACATTTTGTTCTGTCCTGTTCAACATTCCAGTCTTTTCTGTAACGCTAGAGACCTGCAAGCACAGAGGGATGTTTTAAAATACATTATACACTGTTTTTGTTCCAAGAGTTGCAGCCACACCAGAACTGCATTGTATCTGAAGGACAGTTTTGTAATGCAGATTTGTGCTAAGCATCTGAAAGAATTGTTTCTGGCTCATTCAATAACAAGAGTGCTCCAGAGGAATAACCTTGAAAGTTTTGTTTTCTATAGTCTGAGTGATTGGTGATACTGCAAAATGAAATGTTCGCTCTCTGAATATTCAACAAAGATCATAAGTGCAGTTCCAATGTGAACAAACGTTATCATTCTCTGCACATCAGAAATATTAAATTGTTTAAAGTAAGCATCTGTACTTTCTATATGGAAAGCTTATGTGAAACTCTTGTCCTGTTTTTTAATTAATTGGTGGGTTTAAGAGGGTGGTGCTCTCCCCTGTGCTCTTGAATATCTCTATAAAATTTGTGGATGGTTATCCAGACATTTAGGCTAAGTGTATTGAATATGCAGATGACACACAGCTGCACCATGACTTGCTCATAGGAGACAATATACCTTATCCTGCTCTGGTGAGATGAATCCCCCTTTTGTTAGACCACAGGTTAGCAGTGGCTCTACCTCTTTTTTCTGCCTTCTAATCCCAAGGAGCATTTGAAATCATTCTGAAGCAGTTTGGGGTTAGATGATGGCAAACAAGGTGAACTTTAATCCAGAGAAAATAGAAAGTTGGAAAATCCACAGCTATCCATTGATTCAGATAGTGATGGATACAGTGTACTTCACCTAACACACCAGATACACAGCTTTGGTGTACTCTTGGAGTTGATACTTTTTATGGAAGCACAGATGTCAGCAGTAGCTAGGTTTATAAGCCACAGTCTTAGATAGAAAAAGCAGACCTTGCTTCTGTAAAACAAGCTTCATTTAACTTAATTGGTAAGCTTGAGAATTGACTACTGCAATGCTCTCTACATGGAGGTTCCCTTAAACATGATATGGAAGCTACAACAGGTCCAGAATGCAGCAGCCATGTTAATTTCAGGGGCTAGGAGAGCTGAACATGTCTCCCTGATCCTGGCTCATCTCTACTGGCTCCTTCTTAGCTTGTTTCAGATGAAGGTGTTAGAGATGATCACTTACTGAGGTTTGGCAGTTTGGAGGATCAGGCCCACAGGCATTGTGCGGACACCCCAAATTCCACGCCCACCTCTTCTTGCAGGTGTCCACTCAGAGGAGGAGGCAGGGCAAAGAGAAGCCAATAGTGCTGCTTCTGACGGGGTGCCCGCAGGAGGAGGTCCAGAATCTAGGATAACACCTGTGATCCCAATCCACCGGACCACACCAAACTACTGAATTGCATTAAGTGCCCATCTCTACCATGTTTCCCCGGAAATAAGACAGGATCTTATATTAATTTTTGCTCCAAAAATGCATTAGGGCTTATTTTCAGGGAATGCTTTATTTTTTCATATACTGTACAACAATCTACGTTTATTCAAATACAGTCATGTCATCGTCTCCTGGTTGCTGCACAATGGTTGAGGGCAGGTTTTTATTCAATTGGGGCTTATTTTTTGGGTAGGGCTTATATTACTAGCATCCTGAAAAATCATAGGGCTTATTTTTGGGGAAACGGGATAGTGTTAGTTATGACTTATAAAGCTCTAAGTGGTTTGTGATCTCATTGTCTATTGGAGTGCCTCTCCCTAAGAATACGTATCTGCCAATTCAACCTGCTCTCCTCAGGCCAGATTATTGACGGTGCCTATCCTGAGGGAAATAAAGAAAAATAATACCAGGACTTGGGCTTTTCCAGCAGTGGCATCCTTACTATGGAACAAACTTCCATAAAAATTTTGATTGGTTCCCTCTTTATAATCTTTTTAAAGAGGTCTTTGGCAACATCTTAGGTTAATTTATGAGAACTATGCATTATATTTGTAATTATGGTATTTGAGTATTTTTTATTATACTAATGTAAATTTTGTTTATTATTTTAAGTTTCATGTAATTTGGTTTGAGATAAATTATCAGATGTCAGTCTTAGGCTGCCTCTTCTGTTTAGTTTGTGGTATTGTGGCATTTATTATTTTATGAGTTCAACTGGTTGTAGTCTCTGCTTAAATACGTAAACTGCCCTGAGTAGCATTCCGCTAAGTCAGGCGGTCTATAAGCTAAATAAATAAATATTACTACAATGCATTTTTATGCAGGGGGTATTCTTAAAGAGAGTGCAGAAATTTCAGCTGGCAAAGAATCTGAAACAAATGTTTTATGGCCACCCCTATTACCTTTGCCTCTCCCCACTATTTCTAGGACTGCAGACCACAGAAAGTGGCACTGAGTTTTGTGGATTCCTTGCTTCCATCATCTGATGTCACTTCTGTGTCCACCTTATAGGGCATTGCTTTCTGACCTCTTAACATTTCTTCTTTTAAAAGTGGTCAATATTTTGAACCTTCTGAATGCCAAATTTTCCCATTGTGTTCCAGGATAGTCCCAGTCCTCATTGTAACCCAACTTCAGGAGCTCACTTCAATGCATGGCGTCATCAGATGACACGAAACACCCCAGTTCCACTCAGAGCTGAATATCTGTCTAAAGCTCGTGCACAGTACAGTCCTAATAAAACAGAACACACTCTTCAGTAATGAAGAATTGTGAAGGATAATTATTTTTAATATGAGCACTGAAGAAAAATATCTATGCTTGAAATTAAATTTTAATTATTTTAATCTATGTTTTGCTGTAATGTTAACATTCACGTGATTCTAAAGAACTGAATTATGTGCCTTTATTTGTCATGTCTTTGGTTTAGCAGTAAAGTATGGTGAAAATGATGAGTAAAAGAAGATACAGACGGAATGAAAAGTAAATGTCTCCCAACAATAAAATAATTTGAAGGGATGTTCAAATTGTTCTGGATTTCAAATGAAATAAAGATAAATTCTCCTTAAACATTTTGCACAGTAGTCACAGACATTTTTATAAAAGACAAAATAATGAATTGATATTATTATAAAAGCAGGCAAGCAGAATCTGTATTATTACATTCAAAAACAGAATGTGTGTATCATTTTTCATAATGAAACCATCATAATTTTAAAGCCCTCTAGTAAAAATGTCTATAAAAGTAACAAGATACATTATTGAATCTCAATGTATGAGGCAATTGTTGGCTTATTATTATTCTCCTAGCATCTCTTGTAAGCTTTCAGAATGCTGACTGCATTTGCTGTTACTTCAGGATTTAATTCTGCTTTAGAAAGACACAAAAACATGTGCTTTCCATTTTACCAAATAGATTATGCCCTAATTTATTTAATTTATTTAACAAATGTCCATATCACTTCACAGAAGACAAAAATATCAAATGAGTGTAGAATAGAAATATAGGTTCTTAAAATTACATGAATTATCCACTTGCTTATCTCTCTCTCAAAAAAAAATAATAAGCAGCAGTATAGTTTGTGAACCAAATTCATCTGGGAAAGTCCAGGTGAAGGAAAATGTGTTCAACTGTTAGCTCCTTCAGTTTCTGATCCAACACAGCAGAACCCACACATTCAACAGAGATTTCTTGAATGAGGTGTGGAAGACAAGTTTCTATAGAGATTTATTGTTCCATAACCAAGTATGAAAACTCAGTTCAGCTTGAAAATATGTTCATTGGGTCTCATTGTCTGGCACTAATACTGCCTGTTTGTTCATTATTTCAGCTATATTCAAATACAGCTTCTAGCTTCTATTCCATTTTTATAACTAAAAATTATGTTGCCATCACTTCCTTTGGAATAATAATTAGCCGGGCCCATCCTGTACTGTAAAGTCCAAAGAATAGATGCCTCTTTTGAGTTGTCACATTATTTTCATTCTGGCAAGTTTTTGCATCTACAGAACGATATGCAAGGACCCAAGTCTGAATTGGTGACTGCCAGATTGTTCTGGTTAGCTGTGCAGTTTCAGAAAAATATATGAAAAAGTTGGCACATTGCTGGAGATTTGCTAAAAAAGTGAAAAATCTTGTGATTTTTCATCCCCAAAACTGATGGAGAAAATATAAGATTGTATTTAGCATAAATAAAAAAATCAATCTATTATTTAGTTGAAATGATCTGTTTACCAATTAAGTACATCAGCAGGGAGACATAGTCTTTGCATCTCACACATCCATTCATCCTTCTGATGTAGCCTGGAGCGATGATGATCAATTATTCAGCAAGGCATTTTAAGCTGCCTCCATCCTTTCATACCATGTCATCAACTGGATTGCAAGCCACAGCAAAAGAAAGAAAACAATATGATATTTCCTGACCCAGTCTGAAATTTCAGTTGCTACAGACAGGATTCAATTGAATCATTAACCCAGCTGGGGGATATGCTCACCAAATATTCATAGATCATTCCCAGAATAAAAGGAAAGGCTAGTTTCTAAACATGCAGTGTTATTAATTAAATAAACAAAAAACAACATTAAGCCGCACTCTATTATCCATATTTTTGCTTCCAGAGAGAACAGATAGCATACAGATGTGAAAAGAATGAATAGATCTTGAGACTGACCAAGATTATTATTTCAATGTGAAGGAACAGTAATCATATTATCTTCTAAAGTTACATAGACTAAATCCAATATTCCAACTCAAATAATCCCATTGAAATCAACTGGGTTTATGTAAATTGTGATTGACAAATCCCATTCGTTTCAATGGGTCTTCTGTAACTAACATTGGATCATTGATTCCCTTTGTTCTTACAGGGACATTTCCATCTGAATGCATAGAAAGATCTCGAGTTTGCTCATCAATGTTTCTTCAACCCTACAATTCCTCCTAAGATTACATGTTGTCCGTTATTTGCTTTGATGCCAATTTACATTAAAAATATTTAAAATGCTAGATTAAAATTAATTGAGCACATAAATGGTAATGTATAGGTAATATGAATAATCTCAACAGCAGAGGATGAATCAGTGAAAGCAGGATTACCACTTGTGTCCTGTTATTTTCCACTGCACTTGCATGAAGAGGCCATTCTGATGGATAGTGTCACAAATGCCATGACCCTATTTTGAACTGAACCTCCATGGTGTTTATCTGGAGACTTTTATATCACTCTTATTGACTGTAACTGACATATCTGATTTTAAAAAGTGAAGGGAAGATCTAAATGCAGTAAATGCAGTTCATTAGCCTCACAATTCAAATAATGGTATGCATCTTCTCATCAGTGTTATCATACATGATTCATTGTCCTTTTCTCATATTCAGATAATGGCAACTGAGAACATTTTCAATCATCTATTGAGATCAGTGCAGACAATATTTTGTGTACTGAAACTACTATTGCCATATGCTATTTATAAGAAAAGACATCACAGAAATTTCAGGCTTGTTGAAAACAATGAGGTTCATTTCTTAGCTAATATACAAATAGGATTATCCACCACTTCATCAAAGCAAGTAGTTCCGAAGAAGTGTGATGGATGAAGTCAAAGTCTTATTTAGTCTAGCATTCTGCTTCCACTGTGAGACACCACAGGTATGAAATGGCCAGTTCCAAAAAATAAGAAACCTACCACTAGAAAAGGACATAGAAATGTGCATTTAGAAGTACAAGTAGAAATTGTAGCAATAGTAATAATGTGCTGTCAAGTTGATTCAGACTTACTGCAACCCTTTCCAGGGTTATCTAGGTCAGGGGTTTTAAACTCAATTTACCTGGGGGCCGCTAGAGGCAGAGTCTGGGTGAGGCTGGGCCGCATCAGATTTTCCGCCAAGCGGAGCAAGAGCCCGAGGAAGCCGCCCAGGATTTTCCTTAGCCGACAGACAGGTGGGCTGGCTGGCAGGCTGCAGTTCTGGATGGAGGGTGCAAGAGGCGCTGTCTTGGGAGAGAGCCGGCGAGCGAGGCAAGGCTTTTTTTTTACTCTTTACAGCAGAGGATGTGTGGGTGCTTTGGGGGGGCAGGCAAGGTGAGGGCCACAAACTATCATCTGGGGGGCCGCAAATGGCCCCCGGGCCGCATGTTTGAGACCCCTGATCTAGGTAAAGAGAATTTAGCTACTGTAATTTATGTAATACAATACATATAATGCCAGATTATATGTTTAGGGCCTCAGTTTACAAGAGGCCTGTAAATATAATTTTAAAAGTAAATGCCAAGTTTTGTATAGATGTTAAAATCTTGTGGTAATGCTATGGGACTTCTTAAATTCGTCATTAGCTAGAACTCCAGTGTGTCTCAATCTAGCCTCAAATATATGTCACCATAGTGGAGAAGGCAAAACAAGTGATCTGTGTACCTTCTTCAATCTGCTATTCAAGTTCTAACTTCAAGGCCCTGGCCTGATTTCTTGGGGTTCTTTGATCTAGACTTGAGCTGGTCATAATTTTTCAGAAAACCTTCATTTAGAAGACTGTCCTCTGACAGACTGTCAAATGGATCCAGTTTCATAAGAGAGACCAACATCTCAAAATGTACAGTATTTAAAAATGTAGCTTTATTATGATTTTAAGCCTGCCCAAGCCATACTAAAGGCACTCCTTCCTATCTCTGCCATCCAAGGAAGATATACTAGGTTTAATGAGCCATTCCCAAATCTGTTCATGAAGTTTACAGTCTAAGATGACATGTCTCAGTGTCTCTATATTTCTCTCACCACATAGGCACAACCAACTGTTGTAGGGGGTATTGTTGCATCTTCCGAGCAGCACTGCAGATGGGAACAAGTCCATGAGCAATAACATAAAGGCCCTTCTAGTTTCAGGATAATCTAAATCGTTTAAGTACGGCATTGGTAGCAATCTATTCAAGGGGTTTATTTTAATAAATCCTTTGGCCTTATTTATATCATGTTGTCCTTCTATATCTAGGACCGTTTGCTTAATCAATTTTTTTGCTTGGATCATATTAATAGACAATAGGTAATAATGTGAAAATCCATAATCTTTTGGAGGATAAGTATAAAGAGGTAACAAACAGAGTGGCCAAATTTGGACGGCTGGTGATAAAACTAAGACAGAACTGGCTAAATAATAAGGATAGAATAGGAAATACTAGAGATATGGTATAGGACATTTATTTATTTATTTAATCTATATACAGCCCATCTAAAATGTTCTACTCTAGGCAGATATATAACTGATTAGAGTCTACATAGCTTATCAGATGTACAATCTTGTCTATCATTTTATTGTGCATTTTAATGTATATGTATATGTTCATGGTCAGGGCTTGAAAAATCCACTTGTCCGCTCATCTGTGACGAGTGAAAAAATGTTACCTGACGAGCCACAGCTCCCTCCCTGCCTGCCTGCCTCCTTACCCTCAGTCTCTCTCTCTCTCTCTCTTTCTCTCTCTGATCCTGCAGTCCTCCCCTCCCCCTCCCCATTACAAAGGAAAACAGCCCTCTTCTCTCAAGAGTTCGAGCTTCAAATAGAGATACAGCTCCGCAGGAGAACATAGAGTAGCCCTGTGCTGGAGAATATGGAAGTTCCTTGTTCCCAATTTGAACGGGAGGGCCTGGCTCCTTAAGAAGCCAGACGCTTTTGCTTTCAGTTTTATTTTTGCTGGAGACATTCAAAAGAAGTAAAATGGGGAACACAAAGCTTCCTAAATTACTCTGTCCTAAG